TAACTTTCACTTTATCTTTTTTTTATAGCTTCAGATGTAACATCAACAAAGTTCCAAGTGAGCATGCTCACCTTGTGATTCTAATTTGTCTGACGAAAACCATGAATAATCCCCAAAACTCTACAAGTACCTACTCGGTGTCAAATGCTGGTTTGACCATATAAAGCTATAGAAAGAGCAGTGCCAGTGTGAGTAATTCTCCTCAGGCATAACTACTTTTTGTGCTTATTGTTTGTCGTCTTATAATGTACAACATTAATGACATACGCCTCTGTTGCCCTTCTGTATCACTGCATCATGATGTGAAAATGTCATTTATGAATACCAAACACTTCCATTAGAAACCCCAGGCAAACATGCTTTCACAAATTATTTAAAAAGTCTAACAGATGGATCTTATTCTTGTGATTTTCACAGGTCACTCAGACATCAACCACAAAACCACAAAAGCTGGACATAATACAATCTTTAGTAAAGCTAGTTGGTAGAAAATGTAACATTGGGGGAAATTATCATCTCATTACCCTGAAAGTCAAAACAAATATTTTTAACTTGGAAATGACAAAGAAAAACAAATACACAACATGGGGCCTGTACTACAAAGCACATTCAACACACCCAGATTTTCTTTGAGTTATCTGACCTTGCCTAACCATAAACCACATATGAACCTGTTCAGACAACACTTCATTTACCACAACTATGATTACTTTATATGATATGAAAGGAAACTCTGGCATGTAAAATTGGTTATGACATTTAACAAGGACACGTAAACAACAAGATCACTTAAGTAGAATAGAAATACGCTAGAAATAAATTATGAATGTAAAAGGTTTAAGGATAAACTGTGTATCAGCACATTCAGTTAATTAAGTTTCTTACTGAGTATTTTCCTTTTATTGTTTGATGATGAACACTGTTGCCAAAGCAGACGGGACATGTGGTGAATATGTGATGAGGTCAATCGGACTGAAATTTTGTTTTGCAATCATTGGAATGTGGAGCAGTGTGTGGAGTTTTCCCACTCCACACACTTAGATTGTATTTCTTCTAATGTTGTTTCGAGCAGCAGCAACATAATAACAGTCAAAGCAACAACACTGTCAGGAATCAGAATGATTTTTGTTGAGTTAAAATTAAGCTGTAATAGTCAGGATGTATTTAGTCAGTGTGATAAACTCTCCGTTAGTTCGAAGCTGTTTTAAAACCAGAGTGGACAAATGTAGTCTGGAAGTCTGGAATAGGAAATTAGTTGAAATCTATGAGACGATGAATTGTTCTTTATTATTTATTTGATTGTAAATTCTTTAGTCTCTTTCAGGATTCTGTAGAATGACAACTTTGGTTTTCTAGTTACCTCAGACTTAAACACCTCAAGATAAGAGCAGGAGTGCAGCGTAGGTTAACCATGCTGGTTTACCCCTGTCGGAAGTGAAAAAGCTTCATTACATGATTAAAACTGAAGTTACCTCGTAAACTACAAATCCAGCTTTGAAGTACAGGCCCCTGAAAATGTATAGAATGTTCCAATTGAAACTGATGAAGCAGGCAGACATCCACAAAAATCAACAGGTGTATACACATAAATGTAGGAATACAATTTTAGCGATGGCCAAACAAACAAAAGACCTAAATACAAGCAGCGGTTTATTTTCCAAACAGGAGTTTCTGATGTGATGAAGTCATGTAGATCACTGAACGCATAATCCCTTAAAACATAATATTTCATTGACCCTTGGTTGGCAAACTAGTCCTAAACATAACGGAGCTGCAATACAGTGGGTAAGTACATTTGCATGGGCAACAAATCATAGCATCAACATTGATCATTCCTTCTTGGCTTCTTCCTGCTCCTGTTTCACCTCCTCATAGGTGGCATCTTCCTCTTTTTCATCCCCATCGTCTGTCTTGGAGTTGGGGACCCAGAGCCCCGAGTCTATACACCTCTTCATGAGAGCCTTCGCCTCCTAAAACATGTAAAATCATCACATTTAATGCTTGAATGTGTGAAACAGAAAATGAAACATTTACCTAACTGAAATATATTTCCCAACTGGTCACTGTTAAAAATAAACTTTGGGCATTAACAAAGAAACCTACCGTTGGGTCCATTTTGCTAATAACATCTTGTAACATCTGGATGTCCTTCTCATCAAAGCATTTCTGCATCTCCTGCAATTAAGAACGTATGCATGAAGTGTTTTAAACTTACAAGAAAAGATGAAAAGTAGAGAGTTCCTAGGATTCTTGACGTAAAAAGAACTTACTGGTGGCAGGGACTCGTACACTTCGACAGGATCTATCCCTCCTGGCCCCAGGCGCTTTTGTCGTTCCTCTTCCTCATACTCCCTCATAGCCTTTTCTATGCGGATCTTTGCCCTGCTGCGAACTCGCTCCTTAAATGACTCAAGCTCATCAGTAAAAGCTTCCTGGTACTGCTGATCTGCTGTCTGAAATTGACACATATGCACAATTGGTTAATAAAATATGAATTATGCTTCTTACACTGGAAATTACCCAAGAACCTTTTGAGGAACTCAGGAATTTAGCTTGCTTTACACCCAGAGGAAGAAATAAAATGAGCTCCTGCTGAATTGTTCCTGGTGTAAAGATGTCCCTGCTCCTGTTTCTGTACTTTCTGACTCAAAATCTACTGGGACAGGAGGAAGAGGAAGGCAAAGTAAGGAAGGAAGACAGTTGAGTCACGTGGGTGAAAGAGGGAGTACTATTAGAAGCAAAGGAAGTGAATCAGAGGAAATAACCATGGAGATGGGGCCGACACTTCTCCTTTTCTTTCATTCATTACACCCAACTAAAAACAGAGTCATGCAACAATAAATCTGAGAACAAGATCATTGTTATTTACTCATTTGTGAAAATTGCATTTCAGACACTTGTTTTTATAGCCATTATTTAACTGACTAGCCCCGCCTTCACAGTTCAATCACTGACTTTAGCTCCTCTGGTTCCATTGTTCCTGGAATGTTTTGGTCTGTAAAGGAACTACAAGTTATTCAATAAGATTTTGTTGCATTCAAACACATTTAATTACCTTAATCTTGGCGAAAAACTGACGGAAGCACCCGCGGGGATCCACCTTGAGGCTTTTGGCCAACTCTAGAATGAACTGCATGACGATGGTCTGATGAGCCACTTGCTCCATCAATGCATGTTTCTATAAAAAAAGGAAACACTTTCAGAAGAGCATAATCTGGACATCCTAAAATCATAGCGTGTAAGGAATCTGCATTCATAAAAGAAAACAGTCAGCCATTTCTTTTCTTGTTTACCTCCTCGACTTCAAGGTCAATGCACATGATGACCAGGTAGTTAGCAGTCTCCTCACAGACAAGATGAGGGTTGTCAGATAGGTACTTCTGGCTGTCATCCCAGCGTCGCATCATGCCTGTAGTAAAGACAGAAATGAAGTAGTGTCATTACTTTCAATTACCAGTATCCCATATAATCCAGTAAATAACAATAAAATCTAAAATTCTTACCAAAATGTTTGATCTGCTTTTCATTTTTCTCTACAAAGGTTTTATGCTTTTGCTCTTTCTCCTCTTCAGTCTCTTCAGTAGAGTCAGGTTTGACATTAACAACGCTCTGTGGAGGACAGTGACAGAACATAACCATTAACCATGAACCAATCTGTACAAAATCTGAGTTTTCAGAGATTCATTTAACTCTTAAACTAGCGTGTGTTTTAATTTGTGATCTATTGTTAATTCCCCCAATCACAAACACTTTACCAACTCATCCACATAGACAAAATGTTAAGTGGTACATTAAGGAAGACACAACGGCACTCTCAGCCTCACTACATAATCAGCTCCACAGCAACAAAAAGTCCTTCCAAAGCACACTGGTCCCAAACACCTTCTAATCAGAAGCTGCAGAAATAAAATAGATGGGCCCATATTGTGATGTTAAAACATTTGGATGGATGGCACAGAGCCTGGACCAGAGGGGAATAGAAAAAGATATTGCATATTTATTTACATTTGTATGATAAACCACAAAATAATATGTTTGTTAACACAGTAGAGTAAATACCTCAGCCAAGGCCAACCAACCCTGCATGTGATTTTCTCATTCTTGAAGTAGAAAAATAATCATTTATTTGTCATAAAACAGTGCAATGAAAAATCTGTGGATCTCCTCATTAATGCTAATCAGTATTAAATGAGTTTTCTCAGGCTCCATCACTCCACCAAGATTTGTGTAAATCTGTTAAGTAGATTTTGCATAATTCTGCTAAATATAAACCAACAAAGAAACAGGATTGAAAATATAACCTCCTTGGCAGAGGTAATATGAGTCTAATAATTTGAGAGGATTACATACACCCATAGTGTTGGTTTCCTGCTATTGAGAACATGTACCTTTTCTGGCATCATTTATGAAACAATGTGAATCAGGGTTTCCACCAAGGAAATCATGCCCTCATTAAAAATTTATATTATTTTATTTATTACTACTGATTACTACAAATCTTTGTGAAAGATGATGTACATGTCAGGAAAACCCATTACATTTTTTGCGAGTTCTGTTCAGGGTCGGATCCAGGATTTTTCCAGATTATTCAATATTTTCAATAATTTCTCAAAGTATAATTCATGGATCCTGCTGAAACAAGTTCAGGGCACTGGTGTGTATGAGTGTGTGGATTTCGGTGCAGATCCTAAATAAAAATCTGGGTCTAGTGAATATAAATGTGGTTTTATAATATTCTTCATTAGAACTTACAAATGGTACCAAGTCAAAAACAGGCTCGAAGTTATGTTTTGTATGTTGAACAAGAGTCTACTGGAGGTATGACTCCTCTCTGGCTTTTCTGTGTTTGAGCTTAACTGCAAAAAAAGTCATTGCACACTGGGCGCTCCCCCCCTTTATCTACCTCACCTTGCTGAAACCTTCCTTGCTGAGCGTGTCCACGTTCCACGGCATCTTCTTCTCTTCCCTGGTGTGCTCATCCCTCTTCTTCTCCCACTCCCGCGTCTCCTTTTTCAGCCTCTTCTCCTCCGCCGCTGCTTTGCTCAGCTCTGCTTTGGCATCATCTGTTGCCGAAATGTTCAGCTCCTGTACTTTCTTCTGTGCCTCTGAAAGCTTGCGTCGACTCTCTGCGAGTCCCTTGTTTATGTCTTCAAGTTTGCTGTTGAATTCTTCCATTCGCTCCACCCGAGCCTGAGTAACAGAGGTCATGAGATGATGAGATCAGTCCCAACCACAGGGACTAGACAGGGATCTCCAACATTGATCTTTACAGATATCCAGGATGCACTATTTGAAAATATAGGGCCAAGTACAGCAAGCTAAGCTACTGCAATGCAATCATTTTGATATGATGAAGTTATACAGCACCCAGTGGGGAAGTAGACAAGCTAACACCTCACAGCTAATATGTATGTGCATCATTTCCACCTCAGAGAAACTACTTAAAAACAGATTTATCCTAAAGCTGTACCTGGTGTCTCCATCTGAAGAGACTGGGGGTGTCGATGTTGGGGTGGGTATCATCTTCATCGTCTGACACCTCGATGTGGTCCCACACACTGTAGTCTATCTTGGACATGATGCCAGCGACAACACAGCACAAGCGGCGTTAGCTCGGAATGTGACTTCGTGGGCAAACCGACCTCCAGCGGAGCTTCAGTCCGGAAAACACACCACAGACGAAAGCTGCACTTCGCACAGAATGTGTGGTTGTTGGTCGGTGCAGAGACGGGCGGTGTTCAGCCGACACAGACTCAGATTGAGCTAGCTAGCATCGGCTAACGGGGCGACTGTACTTTCTAGAAAGAATTGCTGCTGCTCATTTCCGCTCAACGTCCCTGCGTCATTGCGTCGCAGGCGTACGTCATCACGTAAACAGCGTCTCAAACTTCAGCCTCCACAATGATCCTAAATCAACAAATGGCTTCAAACCTGAACCTCTAACTGTTTTAATGAAAAAGAGTCTTTCTTTCTTGTTTGGGCCATATTGACATGTTTGTGTTTATATAAAGATTAAATGTCAATTAAAATTTAATATTATTATTGTAAATGTTGTTATTAATATCACGTATAACAATCATCATTAGTTTAAAGACTATAATCATTCAATGATTTCCCAATTTGGGATCAATAAAGTACATCTATCTTTCTATCACTGCTCCTGAGTGAAGGTTGTGTTATTAAAACTCTTCTTTTACAAACACTTGATAAACGGCAAACACAATTTTTACATATGTAGATCTCATTTAAATAATAATAACTACTTTATTTACAGAGCACTTTTAGTGGTAACCTTATTTACAAAGTGCTTTACAAGGGCAGCAAAATAAAAAAACACAGGCCAGAAAATAATGAGCACAGCAAAACTCAAGGAATCATAAATATTAAAAGACAATGTGTTTTACCTCCTCACTGTACTTACACAATACATACAGATTATAATGATATATTAGACATCTGTGATATTGCTCTAGATCGGGGGTCTCAAACTCAATTAACCTGGGGGCCGCTGGAGGTAGAGTCTGGGCCGCATCAAGTACTCCAAAATGTACAACTTATCCAATCTTCTCAATCTTTATGATGAACAGTTCTTTGACATGAACGGTTCTTCAGAACGGAATCACGTTTCAATCAAGCTAATTCGCTTTGGCTAACTTGACAACAAACACCACTGGAATCTGTGAGGGCAAGCACAGCCTGCACGACGACTCGACAAAAAGGTGCGTTTAAGAAAAATGCGTGGGCCGCACTAACACTTAACTTTGATGTCAAGTAGGGGGCCACAAAATATTGTCCAGCGGTCCGCAATTGGCCCGCTGGCCACAAGTTTGAGTCCCCTGCTATAGATTATTATAATAACAATACAAACAATACTTTCTGATAAAACACCATATTTATTTGATTTAAAAACAAATGACTATCAAGAGCAAATCAAGACAAATATTTATACATTTGATTTTTTTTTTTAAATCATGTGACTAATACATTTAGAAGAATAACAGTGTTAGTCATCATGTGACAGAACAGGAAAGTCATATTGATCCACACATATCTCTTGAGATGAGTACAATGTTTTTATGTGCAGCCCATGAGTGCCATCAGCTAATACAACTTTAATCCACCATGTGGGTTTGTCATGGGTGTGACCTTTTAACAAGTTCAATGTTCTGTATTACTCTGTGGCTCAATAAATAAATACTACATTTGACAGCTGGTATTATATAATTAAACTTTGTGCTGTGACTCTACCAGAGAGGTGCGGCATTATTACACAACACTTAAGTCAATTATAACATTAATAAAGGTTGCACTGCATTGTATTTCAGCAGACATATCAAAAATAATGTCACCTGTGGATTCATACTCTTCCACATTATGCATCAGTTGCAATTAGGGCTGCTGAATAAATCAATACCAATAAGTATTGCCATATAATATTCACCAATAAATATTAATATGATGCTTTTGTGTCTTTAAACTCAACAAAAATAATAATGTGACATATCATTGTGACGATTATCGATACCGGCTGATGTGAAAATGTTTATCTGGATATCATTTTGACCAAATATCATTCAGCCCCAGATACAGCTTCACGCCCTGACATTGCTAGAAGGCAGCGATGTGTGACTCTTCTTCTCCTCCGGGGGTTGAGACGTCTTGAACCCGGAGCAGCAGATGGAGTTTCCAGCCAGATTCTCGCAGCAGCGCCGCATCTCCTGGATCACGTCCTCACACATGCTCTCCACGTATCTGTTGGCTGCACGAGGAGGGGAAACATCAACCAGGGGATAATGCTGACAACACATTATGGCACTGGAGTGAGTGTGTGTGTGTGTGTGTGTGTGTGTGTGTGTGTGTGTGTGTGTGTGTGTGTTGTGCACCTTGTAAACACTTTTGAATCTCACATGCTTGTTTTTGACACGGATCTTTCTGCGGCATGCCTGAAAAGAGAAAACACATTTTTTAGAAAGTTGTGCACCGGTGATAACCAAACACACATCGGGCTAAAGACCCACTCACCCCCACCTCTGTCCCTCCAGGGGATTTAGTTATAAAGTTATAACGCCGCCAGGTTCTGCATGACTTAAGGTCGCAAAGCTAACGCTAGCCGCTCACAGCACTTCCTACCTTGGGTGACGTCACAATCAGGTGACACGTCGATAGCCAATGAAATCGTATGGAAAGGAAGCGTAACAGCGACATCTAGTGGTTCATAGATAGACGGTCACCCAACTGTTTCCTATAGAAACAAATGGTAACTTTACTGACTGTATACACTTTTTAAAATACAAGAGTATACATGTTGTAACATTATTATTCATAGTCGTTTCTGTTGCTCATTAAGTTATGTAATATTAGTTTAGGCAGTTTTTGAGGAACAACTCTTCTTTACTGTGGAAACAACTTTTTTTAGCATTACTGTGCTTGTATATTTGTTCTATCATTTAAAGTAATAGAAGTCATTAGCAGCAGCAGCTGAATACTACCAGTTTAAACAAAAATAAATAATGTGAATAACAACGTTTTTAATTTAAATTTTATTCATAAAGATAAGCAAATAAAGTAAAAGGTCATATTTACAGTACTGATCTTTAACATTGAGTATTAAAGTTGCAGTTTTTCATTTACAAGCATACATTAATGATAATGTAGTTATCAGTGCTATATTATGTGTTGCTAATATTTAGTGTTACATGATAATGTTATTATTAAGAAAAATAAGTGAAGCAAAAATATAAATTAGATACATGGAAAGCATTAAAAGTAGACTGTGGTCCAAACCAAGAATATACCACAAAGAATAAATTCACATTGAAATACTGAGAAATTAAATGGGACATATAGTATATTCTGGTCTTTTTCTTTATGAGATCTGATTCTGGATGAAAGCAAGATCTTCATAAATATCTGTTGAGTTATATAAACGCATTGTCATATCTGTTTCAAAAGCAGCAACAGTAAAATCCCCTTGCATGTCCAATGTGGTTGTGCGATCCTGTCTGAAGATCACTTGTTTCAAACACCTGAGCAAAAGGAAAAGAAAATGCAGGTTAGGACTCAGAGAGCGAAAACAAATTGCACAGAAGCTCTCATCAGAGTTCCCCTCTACCTTTAGTCTTGGCCTTGACAATGAACTGCTTGCTCTTCTTGTCCAGTGCATTGGAGGCGGTGCAGATGTAGGTCCCCGGGACCAGTGAGGAAGAGGTAAGAACTGCTTCGTCCTCCATCCTCTCCTGCATAGGATGGGAGGACTGCCAGCTGTACACTGGGGCAGGATTTCCTGTGGCTGTGCAGTTTAAGTGGATTTCAGCGCCCACTGTGAGGTCCAGCACTTCTGGTTCAGGACTAAACAACGTTGGAGGAACTAGAGAGGAGATCACAGGGGTTAGATGCACCAGGACGCTTGTTAAACATATGAAAAGCCTTTTTAAGATTTGGGGAAAGCTTCGTGACTCACAGTACACTGAGGCATTGAGAGCCTCGGAGGCCACAGCAGGAGGTGGCTGTGGCCCCTCTGGTCCGAGCTCCAGCTCTGCCACACACATGTACTGCACTCCGTTCTCGGCTCTGGTCGGCGTGATGACGAGGATGGAGGACACTTGGACAGGCGAGGAGGATGTGAGGTCAGAGAAGGAGTGGTTATAAACTTCAGTCTGCCCTCTGTACCACCTCAGGGTCAGATACTGAACAGGAGCAATATTCTGAACCTCGCAGAGAAGCTGGTACTCTTTTCCCTCCACCATGGGGCCCGTGTGGTTCACAGGCCGGATGGAGACACGATCTGGGGTTTCTATGAAGGGCAACACAGGGCTCAGGGCAGTCACACACATTTATAGGAGTCAACCAGCAGCCAGGTGTTTTCATAGATGACATCACATCACTCCAATCCTGGCTTCTTCTTTACGTTGGCTTCTGGTTTGGAGTTGATTTATAATTAATTTAAAAAAAATTAAATTTTAAAGCTTGACTTGATCTGGCCCAAACCTTCATGTTCACTCCATTTGAGCCAGCTTGCAGCATTAGATTGCCCCTGAGTATCCTGTGTCTGCTTTGTCTGTCAAAGCACTTTGTAAACCCTATTTTTAAGATGCTGTACAAATAAAGTTATTTTTATAACACAATTAAAAGAAGAGCCAACTCACTGTAGAGGACGAGGTTGAGTTTCTCCTCACATTGTCTGGGAGCTGTGAAAAACACCCCATAGCAGATGGGCTCCTCTATCCAGTCAATGAGACTGTCTACCTTCCACTGGATGGACAGGTCCTGCTGGGTGTGTGAGGCGCTGATGGCCGACTCCCAGCCCAGGACACGCACCGGGCGGGCGGCCTCACAGCTGACAGACACCGGCTCCCCGAAACCCACCACCACCCTGGAGGGCTTCAGGATGAGGGAGCAGCCTTCACCTGACACTGAGACACACACACAGCAGCAAGCAGTATCACCACTAGAGGGATGTAACGCAGTACAATTACTTCATTACTGCACTTAAGTACATAAATCATGTATCTGTACTTTACTTTGTAGAGATAATTACAGATACTTTTCACTCAACTACATGTATCAGCAAATCTCTTTATTTCCACTCCATTTATATTCTGACATGTTCACATTTTTTTCACATTTTAAAAAGTAGCCTATAATCAATAATGAAAGGGAAATTCCACCATTCCAATAATTAAAATTAAGAAATTAAGTAGGCTACACTAATTTCACTGACAATGGTTTCATGTGAATCTCATCATCAGCTGCATTATTTTCTAATATGACAGAGTCTGTATTATTCTTGTATTTAACAAAGTAGGCAGAGTAAACTCCAATAAGAAATTGCCTAAACTCTTCTATAGCAAAGTATATTTAAAAGTAAAAAAGTTACTTACACATTTTTACTCAAGTCCATTTTTGCCTATTTAATTGTGTTTTTACATAAGTAAAAGGTCTGAGTACCTTCTCCAGCAACACCTAATACTTTCAATATTCCCTGTGACAAATGCCTATGCACCTATTATGTAACTGTAATAAAAAAAACTGTGTGCAACAGTTAGTGTATTTCATTCTATGTCAAGAAAACAACATGTAGCCTACACTTTGTCAACCTGCTGAAGATTCAACAACAGGAAGCTGTAAACTGCAACATGCAGATGCATTTTTACAATATAGTTTTATTATTAGACTAACTAAATTTGTTGCAGAATATCGTCTTACTACCAAAACACTAATAATCCTATTAATAGCATACAAACACCTTTAGCACATGAAACTAATTACTGAGGCCTAGTTATGAGATTTACATTTTTACATTAAAAACAAAGCAGTGCTTTAACCTACTGTATCACTGATGATTGTTACCATCACCAACTAGAGGTCATTGTTTTCCTATTTTCAATACAACTATTTCACCAAACATAATCTTCAACTCAAACAAGTGAAGTAAAAACACATCGGCTTCGACATCTTACCTGAGCAAAACATGCAAAGCGTCAGAATCCATCTCATAAAGTTGCTTCCCATGTTATTCTCTGCACTGAGCCGTCGCTTAAAAAAGGGTTGAGCGGAAAAAGAAAACTTGAACTGAGCTTGGCAACTCTGCAGGGAGCTGTGCTCGAACAAAAGGGCCCCGGTCGTCCCAGCTGACTTTGTGGGTGGGGGGCAAAAGGGAAAAGAGGGAAATTTAACAGGTGGCAGCGGCCTCTAGAAAAACACACAGCCCGATCATGTGTATAGTGATCTCAAAAACATTATAGCAGCAAAAGTGTAGATCCACAAACACCACAGCATCTGTGTCAACAGGAGGGGTTCGAACATATAGTACACCAAAGTAAGATTAATAAGTATATATTCTCTTTTTTCAGTATGATGGATTTAATGGATAGCTGACACTTTAAAGTATATCAATACATCTCTTACAGTTGTGAAAATTATTCGTTAATTGTGCAATATTCACTTCCATCTGCGCAATTCTGTGGCTTATGTGAAAACTGTATACATTCACATACTGCATATATTGTTTACACTGTATATATGAGTTCTATTTTGATTTATATAAATAAGTATATATATATATAATATAAGTATTGCATGTTTACTTATTACTCTACTTTACTGGTGTGTATTTTTGATTGTTCTCTTTGCTGCTAACAAGACAAATTTCCCTGTAGTGGGTCTAATAGAAATATCTCATCCTATCCTAATTATATTAAATTATAATTACTTAGATTGAAGTCACAAAACAATCCATTCCTCTATAATCTCTAATGTCTTTGTTTGTGTCAACAAAACCACATTAATCTGATCTAAACTGTATTATTGATGTTATTGAAAGCTTTGATATTTCTTTTATTTCTCACCACATGCCAGTCTCAGGTGTGGCCATGGTCTGCTTTCCAGCCAATTATTTCTTATCCCCTGGTTTTCAAACTGTGACTGGCTGTGTGGACAAAAGTCTGTTTTCAGTTTTGTACGCATGCTTGTCTCCTGTTGCTCCTGAGCCTTGTGAGATCCCAGCAGGCAGGAGGCACTGGTGTTGTGCAGCATGAAGCTCTGCAAGACTCACACTGTGACCAGAATGCTGTGCTGAAAATCAGCTGCAAGTGCAAGCGAGCAAGTAACCGGACGCCTTTCGGTGTATTTCTGGCGAGCACAGCTGGGAATCTCGATGCACAGATTACAGTGCATGCTTGTTCCCTCTTCTCAGGCTCAACTGAAATGTGTGTTTGTAATAACAGTTTTTTTTCCCATGACAAAATGAACTGATATCCACTGCCAGGTTGTTATAGCAACACAGTGCATACACAAACAGTGCTTTCTGGCAAATGCTTCAGTGGGAATGACAGCAGCGGAACATAAAGAACATGGTTTCAGAAAAAAATAGGTTTATATTGGCAACCGAGCGCAGGATAACAAACACTCTCCTTTACATTCACTTTGTTCAGTGCTAATTAGTATGGCAGTCTCAGCACTGTATAATGTAAGCCAGATTGAATGAGAGAGGGAGAGAGAGAAAGAGAGGGGGGGGGGGGCTCAGGGGTTGACAAAAAGTGGCAGGGAAACAAAATATTCAAGAACGACACTGGTTTGACTTTACCTCAATCAGTATTCTGCCAAAGGATGTCACTGACGGAGCAGTTGGCTAATGCCTGACGTACATGCACACCACATGTTCACGATCAAAAAAAAGCTTAACAAAGCTTTCATAATACTGGGGTTGACAAATGAAAACTAGCCTTTTGCGTTTATTCCAAGTATTTTTACTCGTACATCAAAAAATGGCAGTCTCTTCAGTGCAAATATAATTCAACATTCTAGAGTTGTACCATTGTATATAAAGAAAATCACATGCAAATACAATTTTACAGAGAAACAAATTTACATACATTGCTGTCACACACGAAAATTTATGTAATCATTAAAAAAATAAAACCATGTCATTTAAAGCACCATTGAGTATGCAGTAAAAAAAGGAACAAAATGTACCTGAGTGGATAAAATTGTTTGTGCCTTGGTCTTATGTCTAGAGATAAACGTTTGCTGACAAACCCACTTTCCTGAATATATATATATGTTTGTGCGATATATATTCTTCTTTCAGCTGTTTTAGTATCAACGTTGCAATCCATCATTTATATCTAAAATAAAAACCATGTTTCCAAATTCATATTAATCATCATGACAGTTGCCATCTTTGTCATTTGGGGCTGGAGTGGTAACATGAAGTGGGCTTATCAGAGCTTTCTGTGCTGCTAAGTGTTGGTTAGTGCAGCTAAGAACTCTGTTCACACTAATGCACATATTTAATTTATTCCTGTCTGGGCCGCTCATCCACACGCAAACAGCGTTTATTGTCACTGTCTAAAACAGAGATTTAGTGCAGAATTCTGCATGTACTATGTGTTCTGTGAAGTTTCAGGAACAATGATGTCACAGCTCACTTCGTGCATGCTTACTGTTGCTTTATGTGATGAGAGCGTGCCAGAATCAACAACAACCATGGTGGCTGTAAACTTCTTTCTCTAAAGCTGCTTTCAGACATGCACAGAACTCCAGAGAAACTCAGCAGCTTCTCTGGAAGACGTGTATGTGTGACCACAAATGTCTGAGTGAGAGCCTCTGGAGTATCTGCGGATTTTCTCCGCCTAGCCCCCCCTAGTATAAAGTCTCCCGCTGCGTTGTGTGAAAGGAGAGCAGCTGAGAAAGTCTGGACCCAATTCTCCAGAGATCCTCGGCAGGACATGTCTGAAAATGTCTTTAGTTTGGGTCACATTGCTACGTCTAATCATAAATTAGTAGCAACATTTAGCTTTACTGCACCACATTACTGGCATTCACAGGCGTCTGCCTTGCCCAGTATCACTTGGAACATAGCTCACTGAGCATGCTCACAATGTTTAAAGGTTCGTTGATGTGGACTTTATCGCCACCTACTGGCCCGGCATGCTTGTTTGAGTGTATATAGTCATTTTAGTGTTCTCTTCTGGATTGATTTTTGTAAAACAAAGGTTGCGTGAATAGAGATTCTTTAAAAAACAGAGGGGAAATGAATCACTCAAATACATACGTGCAGTAGTGCAGACAAGGCCCAAATCATTCAGTAAATGCACCGTAAACCCAAACAATGAGCTAAAACAAGCTAAAGAAAAGCATAACTTAAGAGTTGCATGTTCGTGCTCCCGAGTTCAACAATGATTTGAATCAGTCAGTGTGTTTACATGCAAACAGGTAACAGTGCGGTCCCTTTTTAAATGTGCGGGACACGGATTTCAGGCACCCTGGTGGAGAAAATGGGGAGACAATTACATGTACTGATGATGCACACTCAATATAATGCCATCTAAAGTCAGACTGAACTGTAGTTATGACAAAGTAGTATGAGGAATATCCATTGATGAAAGTTTGGATTCTATAAAAATCTTTACAATGTGGGGGAAAGCTGTGCTCCGATACAGGCACACAAAAACACATTCGCACAAAAACGACATGAGATTGCAAAAATGTAAAAAGAAACTCAGGATGTAACCTTTTGAAGAAGTTAGTCATGCCCCCAAAATAGGCGTCAGGGAACGATCTTGATTACTGACCTGCTGCATGTACACCGTGTTATCACAAGGTATTTAAACTCACACATCAGTGACCTGTGTACCCTGGTTTCTTGAGTGCATGTAATATACTCTTTTGTTAATGCAACAATATTGATTAGTAGAGCTTTGAAGCTGATGGGATAATGCAATCTTAAAGCTACAGAGGCAGCTGTCCACCACCGAGTATGCAGAGAAGACCATACCCATGGGCCTCTCTGAAACATGTTTAAAAAACACAATAACAAGTAGAGACTTGACTGCAAAGCCATGCACATTTTCCAAAAAAAGTGAGCCTCATACTGGTCCTGATGAGGTAGGTTGATAGCCTTTGTTGAGAGAAAATGTGCCATCCTGTTTCACAAAAAAACATAAACCAGCAGCAAGGACAGCTCCCAGGATCACAATCACTCCAACAATGGCTGCAAAAGTTGATCGATTCCCTGTGGGAGATGGAAGGGTTTCTTTTTTATTACATTCTCTCTCGGCTCATCTGTTCAGACTCTTTGGTCTTTAAACTGAAGATCTTCTCTGATTCTGATAAACCACACATCCCAAAATTAAAATTAAAACTGAAAAAACAGCTATTAAAATCCCAGCCGTCGTTCCAGGGGGACTACCTGATGGAGAACAACAGCATGAGGGAAGGATTTCTTTACTGCAAGACACTAACTGAGTAAAACAAAGTGAGAAATGTCATGACTTACTTGYAGCCGGGAGGATGGTGAAATATTTGGTTGTTGTGCCCTGGGTGTTAGATGCCGTGCAGGTGTAGGTCCCTGGATACTGAAGGGARGGGTTCAAGATGAGTTGAGTCTCATTTGGTTGTACATTGTGTTGTACGGGTGGTGGGGAATTCCAACTGTACACCGGTGCTGGGTTTCCTGACGCGTCGCAATTTAAAATGACTTCATCAGCAGCTGGAACTTCCAGCGTCTCATTTTCAGGTTTGTCGAATGTTGGTGGATCTGAGGACGTACATGAAATTAAGAACGAGAAATTAAAAAATAAAAAAGGCCAAATATTCTGACAGCTGTGAGGGTGCGAGGAACTTACACAGTACAATCAGTTCTCGGGACTTTGACAGCATTGTGGGAAGACGTAGTCCTGCTGTCCAGATGTTAAGTTTTGCTTCACACCAGATCTGAGCTCCATGATCATCTCCATGGGCGATCAGAGTAAGGACAGATGATWTATTGACTGGAGACGGAGTATTATCATCAAACTTATCAGTGAAGACTATCTTATTTCCTTTGTGCCAAAGCACAGAGAGGTGTCTGGCTGGTGCAACATTGGTAACATCACATTGCACGGTATACTTTTCGCCCTCCACCARGGGGCCCGGTTGACGTGGCTGTGGTATGGACACACTTTCTGGCATTTCTACATAAAAAAAGGGACAAAATGTTGAACAAAAACTCCAGAAACATCAGTCCTGTTAAAAGACGATGAAGTAATACTTACTGTAAACGGTGACTGGCAGGTTTTCGTCGCACTGACTATTATCATTGAGATTGATGTAGCACTGTGGAGACAGGTCCCATTCTTTAACAGACTCGACCTTTAAGATAAGAAAGGAGACCCCTTCTATACGACCCGTGCCACCTTGTGGAGACTCCCAGCCCATCGCAGCTGTCTGGTTGGATGATGAGCTGCAGTTGACAGAGAATGAGCCATGGTATTCCACCACAACTCTTTCGGGGCTGAAATTTGCTTGACAGTGGGCAGTCACAGGCGTTCCTAGAAGCACATGGCATCGATCATATTGCAAACTGCAAGCAACCATGTACAAATCAGTATTTTACTCTAAAGTACTGAATATTTTGTACACACTTGGGAATGGGTGGAGTATCTAACTTCAGGGACAGGATGAATAAACAGACATTGGGAACTCTGTACACTTTATTAGTTATTTCCTCAATTTTCTTCAGGATCAATACATTCTCTCTCTCTCTCTATGTATGTATCTATCATTATATGGAAAAAACATATGCTGACTACAACTCCATGCGTCTCTCGCTGCTGTCCTTTTTCCAGACGATGGGAGTCTGGGATAAGYTAAAGTTGGGTYAAATAAAGTTACGTATAAAATCTACGAGATGATCCAACAACATCGAATGTTCAGATCASATTCGTGTCGAGATCAACGATCGAGTGCGATCAACAGAAATCAGATTAAACACACACGATGGGCGTAGACCTGACTGGACCGTCGACGCTGTAACATTCACGATCTGGACTGAGCCACATTGACTTGAATGAATCAGCCTGTCGAAACAGAAAGTTAACGACAGATTAAAAAATSTTTACCTGCACTCGCTATAGAACCGACGAACAGGAGAAGCCACATCATTGTTTAGTCCTTGTACCAACCAGGAACACTATTTATATAGTCATATAGGTATATTTCCTACAGACCCGGAAGGTAGCATCTTATATTCGATTCGATGAGAGGATGTGGTTAATGGATGTGGTTAATGGTCAGCAGCTCAGGAAGAGGAAGTGTGTCTCCTGTAGAACCATCATAGTCTGTAGAATATTAGATTAGATTAGGTTCCTTTTCCTTAGTCACAGGTCTGTGCTTTGATCATGGGGATGTGCTGACASAATACTGTCACTGATATGAGCTATTGGTAACACTTTATATTAGGGAACACATATCAACCATTAATTAGTTTCTTATTAGCATGGTTATTAGAGGCATATTGGCTCTTTATTAGTCATTATAAAGCACGTGTTAATGCCTTGTTCATAATGACCTTATTCTGCAACTACTCCATTGATTAACAGCTTTCCCTTAATAACCTCCTAATTACTGCTTATTGATGCTAAGTAAAAAAGTTGTACATGAATTACAATCAAGTGCTTGGATATGTTCACTTTGTGTGTTCCCTAATARAAAGTGTTACCGAACTATTTATTTAAATAGTGCCTCKGSTGCATCTGTTGGGATTATTATAGATTTTTTTGAAGTACTTTTAATTCTATTGTTTCAGTGTTCCTTTATCTGTTTTTGTTGTTGTTGCATTGCTGAGAATGATCTGGCTTTTCCATGACTTGCTACTGTTGTACTTATATTTTATTTTGAGGCACCTTGTAACTCTGGTTTTGAAAGGGGCTGAAGATATAGTTTATTATTTATTTTTTAGTGTTAATGGTTTTATATTATTGATTCAGAACAAGCCTTTGCTGGTTCTAGGTGATAAATATGAAARATATTCAGACGCTGTCAAGTTGTCCAATTTTTAATTCTCATCCTGATTCCAGCTTTACAGATTTTTTCAGTCATGCATTATTTCCGTGGGAAAACGGTGAAGATGTTGAAAAATGCAGGATCTCCTAGTGTTAAGGAAAGGGCAAAGATGTTATTGGTTCTTCTCTAACCTATACTGCATCCTTTCACTGAGTTTTGTGTAATCTGGCTAATAAACCGACAAACGGACAGGTGAAAAGAATAACACATTTATGTGCACATTCCATTTCAAGGCAGTTTGGTTGAAAAGGCACATTTTAATWATAAAATAGTTTTACGCCAGTCACAAATATWTACAACAGTATTCACAAATACATTACATAGTTTTCATGTCCATTTCATCACAGGCAGGACTCTATTCCATCTTGCAACATACCTATCTGCAGTCCGTTTTCAATAGCAATTTCTTCCATCTTTACTGATTCTCATTAATAAATATAAGGTTTTTCATTTACATACAAATATGCTAAATGTACAGTTCTGATAGGCATCAGGCAAAAAAAATGCCCACAGTCATTCATACAAAAGCTTACACGTGAGGAACAAGATAATTTGTCCCCTGCGGCCGGAGCCTGACACGTAATGGCACAGCAAAGGGCCAGGCACAGAGGAGGCCGCAAACAGAGAGAAGTGCAGAGTCGTTTACAAAGAATAGCGAAGGGACAATGGGCTCAGTGAATGGTGAACGAATGCAATGTCCACATGTAGAGCAAAGCTGGTCTGTTATTCACACCTCCAGTATCACACTTTCAGTGCACTTCCTGTTAATGTGATCACAGCAGTCTCAGGGTTAACCCTTCTTCAAACACATTCTAAACAATAATTTGGAAATAAAGACAGAAGCTGAGATATAAGCTTAAGTGAATATTAGGGATCAGAAAAGAAAAAAATAGAACCAAGCATTAGCGAAACCAAAGTCAACAAAAACATTCGTCATCATGTTAGTTTGTGCTCATGAAAGTGAAATATCTCGGCTCTGTGACAAATCAGAGTCAAATGTTTCAGTTCTTGCTCCTCCTGTTCTTTCTTTCCAGTGAAAACAGGTAGAATCCAGTAGTAAAATTAGACATGTATATCTCAAGCCAAGGTGACTGGTTTTTATGATTATTTTGTGAATGGTAAAATATGAAATGTGGAACAATACATGTGAACTTTAAGGGAATTTAAATGATTTCCAAAAATTTGCACCATTTCCTGTTACTTAGGCTTTCAAACACTGTGGTGGCAGAGAGATGCAGCTCATTCAGAGTGGTCAGTTGTCCAGTCAATCAACAGACGTCCCACTAAGACAGTTTAGTCATAGGAAACTGCATGTCCCAGCCGTTGTGAGCTACATTGCCGTTGTGGGTGCTGTGTCTGGGGTTTTTAAGGCTGTAGCGACGCATCTTGGTGTTCTTATAGTAGATCGAGTAGATGAAGAGGAAGACAATGGAGATTGCAACAACGGTGACCGCCACAAATCCAGCTATGAGGGGCAGGTAGTCCTCTGCAAGGGAAAAAATAAAATATGCAACATATCAATGTTTTGTAAGTAGGTATAATCTGTTCTTTTTTCCTGACATGCGACAATTAATGTGAGATTTTATTATTCCTCGGTTTACAGCTGTTTCTCATTGTCTATTAAACAAATGTGCATATGCCCTTCATCATGTACTTTCAGCCATTATCAGAAAGGAATATTGGCAAATATCTAGTATTTTTATCATTACTTTAAAAAATGAAAGTCACTTTTAATTGACCTCTTGATAATAACACGAGATACACAATATTTTTAACAAAATCTACCCACTTCTGCTTTTTGTTATTGTCTTTGTACACAGCCATCACTGACAAATCAAACGCTACCATTTTGAAATAAATTCTCCTTGAATGGAATTTTTCATATGATACTCAAACTTAATTATTTTTTAATCAATTTATGCTGTCAAGACCATGATTATATCTACTGGTTATAGCTCGGGTTCCATTTTTCTGCTGACTAATAATGCATGCTTTCACTAGGGTATCTATCATCGGTCATCTATATTTTTAAATGCAATTTTATTTGTTTGCTCTGAATGAGAAAGAAGATTGTAACGGGAGATGTTTGTACCTCAGTGAAAGAATGTTGTTTTATAACTTGTGTAGGAGGTATAACACATAATTGATTGCATGTCTGAAAGCAGCATTATATTGGTATAGGTAAGAGGTGCATATTTTCTTCTAAAAAGTATAGAATTGAGTTTTAATTGTTACCCTTTAAAATCACTTCGACCACGTGGAAGGCGGAATCAACGTCATTGGTGGCAGTACAGTTGTAGAGGCCTGCTTCAGACACAGTGAGCTTGTCTTTGGACACATGGGGCACTTTGTCTGGCCTGTATAACCAACGGATATCTGGAAATGGGTGACCATCAGCTTCACACACCAGCACCTCAGGGTAACCTCTGAACACTGGGATCTTCTTTGGAAGCTTTATGGTATTGATGACAGGCTTATCTGTTGAGACACAGAGGCAAATAGAGCGGTATGAGGTCAAGCAATGACCAAAAATGATTTTAGAATATAGAACAAGACAGTGAATATCCTTTGTACATAGCTTGTTTTACAGACGTGAAACTACACACTGTCATTTTTATATGATGTGGAATGAGGTGATAAGACGTCCGTCATCACCTCCATCTTGGAGGGACTGCAGACTGCAGAGCACCAAATGTAAACTCACAGTTGACAGTGATGTTGAGAGGCTCGGACATCATGTTTGGAGGAGACTTTGGTCCGTCGGGTCCCAGGTTCAACTGAGCCTCACATCTGAACTCAGCCCCGTTGTGCGCTCTGTTCGCAATGATGGTGATGGTGGACGACACAGTAACCGGAGATCTGACCACACTGATGTCACACTTTGTGCTTTTGTCATCCGGACAGCCAGTCACCCGCATTGAGCCTGATGGACAAATGAACGTTAAAGGTAAGACAACAAAAGTAGCAGATGTTTCCTCCGTACTGCTAATGCTTTGTATCTGCACTAAATCCCAATTTCCTTCCATTTTAACAGTCAGTGTTAGGGATGATGACAGTGAAGCATGACTCTTTTGGGATATCACTTTCTGCCCTGTCGACATAATCCAATGTCTTGATTTATCAATTATATATAGTGCACACTGTCGGACTCTCATTTTTGCAGAGTCCTTTCTGCAACACACTACTTTAAAAACAATGCCCTGTTTAAAAAAAGAAAATAAATCATTATGCGATGGTCAGTGTTAATATTACGACGCTGGCCACAAGCAAATCAATGAGACACTGAGAAGAGTAAAACTACAAGATGCCAGCTGAAGAGGCAGTTTAGAACTCATTTGTGTTCACACAGCGATTAAGAATGTGGCCATGTGATTGCATTTCTTATCCTTGTTATATGCTGATGGGCTTCAAAATATACAACCAGAAAACTGTCAAACACTGAAGCAAATCAGAGAAACCTTGGTTATAAAACCCTGTAGCCACATCAGACTGCTGACTGACAAGCACATTATCATTTCAATTAACTCTCACAGTGTGTGAAAATATATTTTACTATAATTAAGTTGGCAGTTTCAGAGTAATATCTTCATTATTAATGGATTATGTTTTACGTTATTACAATAACTAATCTGCTGTCATTATATTTGTGAATATTACACAATTTGTCTTTTAAAACAGTCCCTTTTAATCAAGGTGGGATGATGACGTATTTCATGTCATCAGCTTCATCTGCTTTCAAATACATTTCAGACAAGCACTGGTGATATTTCCTTGACCTAACTGATAAGGCAGAACATGTGTAAACAAAGATAACCCACCTCTGATAAGTGGTTGGAGGGTGTCATTTCCTTGATACCACTGCACAGCGAGGTTCCCCGCAGGAGCGACATTGATGATGTCACACTGCAGCTGGAGCTCACTGCCCTCCAGCGCGGAGGTCCAGTTAAGGACAGGGCGGATGGAGACGCTGTCTGGTGTTTCTACATACGGCACATTTAGTGGAGAGAAACACATATCAGGATTAAATCAGGATTTAAAGTTGATGAGAGCAAAAGGACAAAAAAAGTTTTGAAAACATACTGAAGAGAGTGTAGTTTACAGCTTTATGACATGTTCCTAGTCCTGTAAATGTAGCGATACAAACAGGCCTCGGGTCCCAGTCTTCACTGGTGTCAGCGCTCCAGTTTTCAGCATTAATTACGGTCCCCTGCAGAACCTCCCAGTATATCGCTTCGACATTTCTGGCGCTCTCGGATGTGACTTTGCACTCTGCGATCTGGGTTGGTCCCCGGTATGGTATCACCATCCTGTGTGGAGTGACTTCGATAGGGCATTCTTGTGTGGCATCTGAGGAGCATAGAGCGAGGAGAGAGACGTGATTTAAAAAACCTTATTCCAGTCCAAGTCAATACACACCCATTATCGTAACACAACATTTCCACATCCAAGGCTGATGTTGAATTGTGTTGAATAACCACATATTTGTAAAACAATAGAGGCAAATGTGAGGGGGGGCTTAAGGAAGGAAGTATCCCTCCCTTAGGAAACTGCACTTGCTGCCTAACATTCTTTGTCCTGGAGCCTGTTGTAGAATTCATATCTAAGTTAAATGCATCACATATTTATTTTCCATGAATTAAACATACAACTAGGGCTGGGCAATAACACAATATCAATACAAGCGTCCAATATATAGCAAAAATAAAAGCCTTGTGAGGAGTGAATACATTACTTTAAAATAAGATTTTACCTCCAGTTTAAAATTGCTCTTAAGATGAAATTGGATTGAGTTTTATATCTTTCTGTGTGTTGTTCCATGTTGTGTAATCAGATACACAGATACTATCAATGTGGTAATGTTACTGTTTTTCCACTAGTGCTGATCTACTCAGTATTATTGTCTTTTGTTCCCATTTAAATCACACGGAACATTTAACATGGATATGACTCATTACATCGAGACTTTCCAGTCTCCTCTTTATTTTTAAACCAGTCAGTTCGGGCTACACAAACCAGACTAACACACTCCCAGCCTTTTTCCATTGAACTAATCGAGACATTTCAGAGAAAACTGATTTGCTCAACTTACTCGAGTCTGTCCCGTTGCAAAGCGACAGCAGCAGCTCTACTGTCAAAACCACTGGAAGCAGGCGAAGAGAGTTTAGATCCGTCATTGGAACAGCTGAGAGGAGCTTTGTTTGTCTGTTTCACTGACTCCTGCAGGAGCACAACCAGCGCAGACCTGTGGACTTTTCGTTTTTTCGGGGGGGAAAGCTAAGAAGCTAAGAAGTTATTATGGCTGCATGTTCTCACTGCTCAGTCTGAGCCTGCCCCCTGTCCCGCATCATCACCGGGGAGGAAACCCCTCCCCCTCCAGCAACACA